ATGTGAAAATAGAGGCACAGATTGAAGTGATGCAGCTGTAAGCTAAGGAATGCTGGAAGCCACTAGACACTAGGAAGAGGCAAGGAAAGAACTGTCCCTAGAGACTTCAGAGGGGGCACAGCCCTATCAAAAACTTGATTTTTGGACTTCTAGCCTCCAGGACTGAGAGAGAATAAATTTTTGTTTTAAGCCACTTATATGATAGTTTATTATGTCACTCCTAGGAAATGAATTAAGGTATGAAATTAAAAGTATTGAGAGAGGAGATTTTGATAAGCATGAGCACTTTCAAATATACACCTTTATGCTTAGTTTAGAGGTCAGTGAACTATGGTCCACAATCCAGATCTGGCCTCCTGTCTGTCTTTGGAAATAATGTTTTACTGGAACGCAGTCATGCCATTCATTTATGTTTTTTCTATGGTTGCCTCAGTACTACAATGGGAGAGTTAAATGATTGCAACAGAGAACTGTATGTTCCACAAAGCCTAAACTATTTATTATCTGTCCATTTAGAGAAAAATGTTTGCTGGCATGTGATTGAAATCATGAAACTGCCTGCTCACTTCATCCCCACAGGCATCATGAAGTCAATGTAACGTTTAAAGATGGTGTTGTATTTGAAAGAACTAGGTTTGTCTATGAATGCAAAATTCTCAAAAATAGCAGTGACTTAAGGGAGACAGAAGATTATTTCTCTCATGTAAATTTACAGTCTAAACCTGGTAATGGCAACCTTATGATCATCAGGAACACTGGCACCTACTATCTTGTTCATTTTCCATCCTCAACCTACAGTTTTCACAGCATGATCCAAGATGCAGTTAGCACATTTGTATTCTACTCAGGAAGGGGGAAAGGAAAAACATACTTTCTTTTAAGGACTCTTCCAGGAAATGTCACACTTCTGCTTATACCTCATTAGCCAGAACCTAGTCACATGTAGCATAAGGAGTCTGAGAAATATAGTTATTATTCTGAGAGGCAAAGTGCACAGTTAAAAATCAGGGATTTAATTACTTTAGAAGGAAGGGAATATAGATCTTAGGGAATGGACTAGTAATGTCTGCCACAGCAGTGAAGCAGGTTGACTTTTGTCCTTTTTGCTATTCAAGGATATGAGGGAGGCCACTATATCTCAAGGAAACTTCTACTATTAACACACTTATATACATTGAACTAATGACTGTGTACCATAGGGATGCATCCATGGCTATTTCAGGAGTCCCACTGGAAACGTGCTCAAGGATTTGAATCTACACTGATTTTAGGGAAACAGAATCTGTAAGACTTCATAACTGATTTCATGTGAGGTGGAGGGTGAGAGAAATCTAGGGTAATACTCAGGTGTCTGCCTTAAGTGACTAGGTGGACTCTTGGGCATACTGGCATTTGAGAGATGAGAGAACGAGGAGGTTCTTCAGTTTGATTTACTTGTAAGGTTATTAATTACCCCTACGTAATGCTCAATTTTGGTAGCTTTTAGTCTAAGTGAATATTTAAATCTCATTTTACAAATAGCTATGTGGGTCTCAGAGACAAGTAGTTGTTGCCTTGCATGTTTACCCTTGTCTTATCTGAGCTCCTTCCATGTCCCCCAACCATCTCTCATCTCGTGGAAAGTTCAACATGTGTGGCCCTGATAATTACTGAACATTTTTATTTCTGGACTTTCTAGGTTTCTTCTTACTGAGATGGCATCATGATATGTTATAGCATTATAATTGTATAAATGCACTATCACATTATTGTGGTGTGAGAAAAGATGGAGGTGGTAGTCAGGAGTGTCAGGGGATCTGGTGTCCAATTGGCATGTTATATCATGTTATATTCAAAATATTATCATGGAGTGTGTTCTTGTGGGGTTTTGCTGTAACTCACAAATTATAAGTTCAATAAAATGATCAAGTTCTTCCAAATATATCACCTCTTCTTCCATCTCCTACTTTTTTTTTTTACAAAGGTAAAATTTTGGCTCATTTTAAGGTTCAATAATGCTGCTTTTCAAATCAACTTATTAAAAAAATTAAAACTGATAGAAACTGAGCAACAGTACATTGAGCAATCATAAACCCTTTACTAAGACATCCATTGATCTTTAACATTTTGCCATACATTTTCTCATATATTATACATACACACACAATCATACCGACATACACAAATACGTGTGTGTGTGACATGTTTTTAAAAACTATTTAGGAGTTGCTGGCAGACATCATGACACTTCACCCATAAATACTCCATTCATCATGTTTCTACAGGCATACCTTGGAAATACTGCAGGTTCTGTTCCAGACTACCATAATGAAGTGAACATTGCCATAAAGTGAATATTTGCAATAAAGTAAGTCCAGTGAATTTTTTGGTTTCCCAGTGCATGAAGAAGTTATATTTATACTATACTATAGTCTATTAAGTCTATACCATTATGTCTAAAAAGTATAAATACCTTAATTAAAAACAATGTGTTGCTAAAAAATGCTAACTATATCTGAGCTTTTAACAAGTCATAGTTTTTTCTTCCTGTTGGATGGTCTTGCCTTGATGTTGATGGCTGCTGACTGATCAGGATGATGGTTGCTGAAGGTTGGGGTGGCTGTGGCAATTTCTTAAAATAATAAAACAATTGTTTGCTACATCCATTGATTCTTCCTTTCCTGAACTTCTCCTTAGCATGCAGTGCTGCTTGATAGCACTTTACCCACAGAGGGACTTCTTTCAAAATTGAAGTTGATTCTCTCAAACCCTGCTGCTGCTTTATCAACTAAGTTTATGGAATCCTTTAGGGAATTTGTTATCTAAATCCTTTGTTGTAAGTTCAACAATCTTCACCAGGAGTGGATCCCATCCCAAGAAACCACTTTCTTTCTTCATCCATAAGAAACAATTCCTCATCCATTAAAGTATCATGATGAGATTGCAGCACTTCAAATATAGTAATGCAAAAGTTTGAAATATTGTGAGAATTAACAAAACGTGACACAGACACATGAAGTGAGCAAATGCTATTGGAAAAATGGTGCCAACAGACTCACTTGACATGTTGCAACAGTTGCCACAAACTTTCAGCTTATGAAAAATGCAGTATCTGCAAAGCACAGTAAAGCAAAGTGCAATAAAACTGAGTATGCCTCAATCTCCTAAGAACGAGGACACTTTCCTGTATCACCACAGTAAAGTTTTCACACTCAGGAAATTTCACATTTATATACTGAGTCCATAGCCACAATTTCTTAATCATTCTATTATATCCTTTATAGTTTTTGCAAAATTTGATCCAGGACCTAATCAAGGATCACACATTGCTCTTAGTTGCCATGTCTACTTTCCTTCAGTCTAGAACAGTCCCTCAGTCTTTCTTTCATGACACTGACATTTAAAATGAGCACAAGCCAGTTGTTTTGCCAGCTGTCTCTCAATTTGGTTTTGAGTTTCCTAATGTTTGAATTATTGGCAGGAATATTATATGTGATGTAGCCTTCTCAAAGCACCATCATCATGAATAACATGATTTCAGTGTGTCCCATTTTTTATATTAGTTTGAGCTTTGAGATAGCATCTGCCAGATTTCTCCACTGTAATTCCCTAGGTAATTAACAAGTAATTGCTAGGGAGATGCTTTTGAGACTGTGTGACTGTCCTGTTCTCCAAACAAGCTTTCAGCCAATTTTTAAGCATCCACTAATGATTCTCAATTATTAATATGGTGGTTATAAAATGGTGATTTTTCTATCACTCCTACTGCATTTTTAGTTGACATTATTTTGTAAGGAAGAACCTTCTCCTTTCTTCATATATTAAAAAAAGTAATACAATTTTGAGATGTGATCCACATACAGTGGAATACATATATAGCTTAAGTGTTCAATTGGTTTTGATGAATGCACACACACAACTCAGACTACTATTAAAGTAGAACATTTCCTTAAGTTCCCTCATGACTTTAGTCAATCCGTCCCCTCCAGGAACAACCACTGATTTTAATTTCTATCACCATATTAACACTGCTTATTCTAGAACTTGATGTAAATGGAATCATACGGTATAATGCTTTTAAGTCAGGCTTTTTTCACTTAGTATAATGTTTATGAGGTAGATTTATTCTGTTGCACTCACACTTAAAAAAATTTTAACTGTTTTTGGTATTAATACAGACTAATGGATTATTGTTTTAACAGTTTTATTGAGATAAGGAAATTTCACATTTATATACTGAGTCCATAGCCACAATTTCTTAATCATTCTAATATATCCTTTTTAGTTTTTAAGGATATACAGGCTTCACAATTCACCCATTTATAGTATAAAATTCAATGGTTTTTGCTATGCTCACAGATATGTGCAATCATTATGACAATTTTAGAACATTTCATCACCTCAAAAACAAACTATAATCTTTAGCTTTCGCCCCATCCCCACTCTCAGGCCTAAGCAACCCCTAATCTACTTTCTGCCTTTATCGATTTTCCTATTCTGCACTTTCACATGAATGAAATCAAATAATGTATGATCTGGCTTCTTTAACTAGTGTAATGTTTTCAAGATTCATTCATGTCATGGCATGAATTAGTACTTTGTTCCTTTTTATGGCTAAATAATATTCCACTATGTGGTTATACCACATTGTTTACCCATTTGTTAATGGATATTTGAGTTGTTTCAACCTTTCTTCTTTAATTTCCAAATTATATTTTTTAATTAATTTTTTTATTGAAGTATCATTGATATACAATCTTATATTGGTTTCAAATGTACAACAGAATGGTTCAACAGTCACCTATATTATTAAATCCTCACCCCTACTGGTGTGGTTACTATCTCTCAACATAGAAAGATGTTATAGAATCATTGATTATATTCTCCATGCTGTACTACTATCCCTGTGACCAACTTATATTATGATTGAGAATTTTTGTGCCCCTGTATTTGCCTTACTCTCTCCACCCACATACCCCAACTCCTCCCCTATGGTAACCAGTACTCCTCAGTGTCTTGACTAATGGAATTTTAATAATGTTTTATTCTTGTCATTCATTTGAAGTTCAAATTGTTCCAAAATTGACCATGGGAGCCTCTTTGATGTCCATGACTTTCTGACTTGTCTCCATTAGTTTTTGTGGAACAAAACTTACTTTCTGGAAGAAAAGTATGATCCAGGTTCACCTATACTTTCCCTGTCCACTGGACAAACAGATTCTCCATGGAGAAGTTTCAGAGGGGAATGGAATTTAGAAACCAAATCTGGGTGCTAGGTGAGCATCTTGCTATTATTTTCTTGCTTTCAGGCTAATTAAAGGGATGCAGCTATCTACATATTGAAACACATATATACAAGCCCATCTGTGCACACACATGCACCCACGCAAACCTCTAAACACCAAAAAGTTCTCCTTCCCCATCCCTTATTTGTATCTCCTTTCTTCCACAATGAGAACTCTAGTCCCCACCCCAGCAACATCAATGACATAATGTGCTAAATTCTACAATACATGCTATATATTTTTAAAATTGTAATAATAATATCACTACTTAGAGCAAATCTCATAGGTAAATTCCTCTGCATTTTTTTGGTACCTAATGTGTACAGTGAAAGCACTGTTAGAAATTTTTTGGATTCCTTTTCTTCTGTGTGGTTATGATATCAATATTCTATACAGTTAAGTTAACTTGTATCTGCTTGTACACAATTTTGCAGCCAAGAATAGGGATAAATCTGTCCTTTTTTATTTAATCTTATTTTTTGAATGTGTAAATCATTAAAATGATTCAAAAATCAAAACTATAAGCTATATTCAGAGATGTTTCATTCCCTTCTTACCCTGTAATCCTGTTCTTATTTTCCATAGGTAACCAATTTGTTAGTTTTTGATTTGTCTTTCCTGTATTTCTTTTTGCAAAAAACATACATACATATTTTTTCTTTCTTACAAAAAGGTAACATTGTATACATGGTCTTTTGCATTTGACTTTTTCATTTAACATATATTTAAACAGTCACTAATAATCAGTTCTTAGAGATCTTCCTTGTTCTTTTTCAGATGCACAGAACTTTTCTGTGTGGAGTAGTCTTGTGTGAATATATATATATTTTTCTGAGTATTTTAATAACTTTGTGCATGTGTGCTTTATTATTTTTAGAGGTATGCCTTCAGGGTAAATTTCTAGAATGTGTTTGCTGAACCAAAAGGGTAAATGCATATTAGGTTTTACTAGATATTTCCAAATTCCCTTCCACAGGGGTTGTGTGGTGTTGCTTCTCTACAAGTGATGTATAAGAGTGCCTGTTTCCTCACAGTTTTATAGAGTTTGTTGTCAAGATTTTGGATTTCTCCTGATTGGTGAGAAATGGTATTTCAGGTCAGTCTTAGTTTGCATTTGTCTTATGACTGAAGTTGAACATCTTTTCATATTTTAAGGGTTACTTGTATCACTTCTGTGAACTCTCTTTTCAGGTTTTTTTACCCATTTTTCTAGTGATTTTTTAAATCTCTTTAAAATTGATTTTTGAGTAGTGATTATTTCTTAAATTTTCATTTCCACATGTAGGTTTCTCTAAAAGCATGTCCTTTACATTTCTGTTATGTTGTCAATACTGAGTTTTTTTCAGCAAGCTGTATATTGCTATCATACTCATCAATCACTCTTTCCCCCACAATTTACCGCTTACCTCAGCTCCATGTAATAACTTTTGAGTGCCCCAAATGCAGCTTGCCAAATAGCTGTTCTACCTAAACTGGAGAGAACCTTTTATTTTGTAATCCCAGCCGGAGCTACTGCCACCAAGGCATCAGAAATTCTGCAGTTGAGGAGGCAATCAACTGTAGATTCATTATGAACATAACCAGTTATTGGGAAAGTATATGGGAGCTAACTTTAAGGAAGCACTAAAAAGTAGAGAAGCCCAGTTATTCTTACAAAATACAGACAATGCTAGTAAGTCAGAATTTTTGGAGGACATTCATTTCCTGCTGAGCTACTCAAGGCACACTGTGCATGGGTTTTCCCTGCCCGAAACACACAATACCATTCCCTTATGCCATCTCTTAAGAATATTGAGTGTATGTATTTTTTTTAAAGGTATCATTGATATACACTCTTATGAAGGTTTCACATGAAAAACACTGTGGTTACCACATTCACCCATCTTATCGAGTCCCCCCCATACTCTATTGCAGTCACTGTCCATCAGTATAGTAAGATGCCAGAGTCACTACTTGTCTTCTCTGTGCTACACTGTCTTCCTCATGATCACCCCCACACCATGTGTGCCAATCATAATACCTCTCAATCCCCTTCTCCCTCCCTCCTATCCACCCTCCTCCACCCCTCCCCTTTGGTAACTGCTAGTCTCTTCTTGGAGTCTGTGAGTCTGCTGCTGTTTTGTTCCTTCAATTTTGCTTCATTGTTATACTCCACAAATGAGGGAAATCATTTGGTATTTATGTTTCTCTGCTTACCTTATTTCACTGAGCATAATACCTACCCTCTAGCTCTATCCATGTTGTTGCAAGTGGCAGGATTTGTTTCTTTCTTATGGCTGAATAGTATTCCATTGTGTATATGTACCACATCTTCTTTATTAATGAGTGTAGAATTTTGAAAAGGAAGTTAGGAGCTGGCTTCACACAAAAAGTTGAGGACCTCTCAAAGGCATCTTGGGATCAATTTTAAATGAAGTTGTTTTAAGTGATTTGTCAGTGGAGGTGAACGTCCCAGTGACAAAGACATCCTATCTTGTTGAAATCGGTAGGGTACATCTATATACATTAAATTAGAAAAGTCAGTGAGAAATAAAGTCTTGTCTTAAAGACATATGATCCAGCTTCTACTGCTAAAAGTGAAAGCAACAGCTGTAGCCACAGCAGGGCTTTTGTCTCTCTCAGTGGTCATGAATATCCCTAGTGCCCAGATGCTGGTCTTTACTACCACTCTACACTAAAAGAAATAGAAACTTTGGGCAGGATTTGGGAAGATAATCCTGTGTCTTGGAGGAAAAAATTCAGGATATGCTTGGAACATCTTATTCCAAAAATGAGAATATGCTTAAGGATAACAGATAGAGTGCCAAGAATTAAAAGAAGTTAGCTGAATGGAGTTTCCACTGGCCAGGTTGTCACGATTTGAACATTGAAAAAAATGGTTAATTGGAACTGCTTGAGTATGTAAGAGGCCAAGTGTTCATAATGATATTCAAGAACAAAGTTAATGTAATCAAGTGTGCCAAAACAGTTGCAAAAGGATGAATATGGTATGCATGATTCATTATTGATCTTAAAAAGCAATCTGTATTTTTTCTTTCTAAGTATGTGCATGTGTATATACATGTATACACATATGTATGAACACACATACACATATAAGGTATATATACTGGGTAGTTCTTCCTATTTCACTTAGACCAAGTAGAAAGATAGTTCAACAGTTAATCAGCTCTAAAAGTCACATACAATAACAAATGTAAAGAGGTTTCAAAAGTGTGTTGCAAAATGAAGCGGCTAAGTATTCTATAGAGGAAAACTGACATTCTTCAGGCAGGAGCTAGATGGCTGTAATAATTATAATAATGAGGCAAACAAAAGCCCTATATAATGCTAGCCAAAAAACCACTGAACCAAAATGAGAGGACAATGGGCAAGATGGCTTTTGGTAAGTTCACATGTCAAAAATTTTAAACCTATATAAAAGGAAGGTCTTTAATAAAATGTCCCATGACATAACAAGTGATATTTTGTTCTAAGAGATTTTATAGATGACTTAAGTATCAGCCAATTGCTAATCCATAAATTATGCTTAATTTGTCTGAGACAGAATTATTATTTTGGGATGAGATTACAAAAATCTGAGGAAGGTGTACAAATAGAACGTGGTAGAGCCTAAACCTAGGAACATATGAACATTCCTTACTCTGAGTACCAGTATTTTGATGTGTATTTAGGGTTCACTCCTTAACTGGGAATATTTTGAAGAGGCAGAGTACATGAGAATGAATTCACACCAGAATGACATAGTTTACTGTACAATATAAGCATAATCATTTATGACCCTAAGGAATATATAATAGACTTCTAATTTTACAGTTCCTATGGAGAATTGTTGAAAATCCTTGGCCAGCTGTGGTCTGGTTGAATCCAGGAATTGTCCAATTATCTGGGCTTGTCCAAATTCTGTGGATCCTTTCTAAAAACCCCATATTCTCACTTTTCACCTGAGCTGAGATACACTGCCTTGTATTAGAGCCCTTAGTACTCTGTGGAATATTCAGTATTTGTGTCTCATTGCAAAATTGAACTTTGATTAAAGCTTTAATTAATTATTACTTCTTTTGTCTGAGACTTCACCTTAGCATACTCTCCCTCTTCCTGAAATCTGACTGCCCTACGCTCTGCCTCCCTGATGGCAAATGAATGTTAAATTTAGCTCTTTTTGATGAGGAGATACCTCCAGAACTGATCTACCCTGAAAATGGGTCTCAACTACATAGATGTTTGAACAGAACTACTATTAGAAATCCTCCCTGACTACAAGAACTCAAGGTTTTGTTACCTATTTCACACCCACTGATATGTGGGACGTAAGTGTCCTTTGAAAAGTTTAATTTTTGTGATGAAATGAGTTGATTACTTTTTTGGTTTTTAGTGTTTTAATTTTTTAAAGGCTTAAAATAATTTCAGCTTTGACCGAAAATGTCAGAAGTCCTATAAAATCTAGTCCTTCACAGGGGAAAATAGGGAAGTCCTGAATGGGGAGATAGGTTAGAAGAAAGTTGAAAAAGCAGGGGGAATGCATTCCTACCTTAGTCTAATGCCTGAGAAGACTGAGAGAAAAACAAAGGCAAGAAACCGAAGCAGCCCTTAGTTGAAGCTATATATGGCTTATGACAATTTTAACATTTATAATTCTTTGGAACATCAAAATGTGATTTCTGTCAAGGCAATATAATAAAAACCAAATTAAGCTATCTTAAATTCTTTTTGGGAAAAGGTGTTACATATATATATTTCAACAAGTAAAATGAACTATTAAGCCAATTAGTAATATTTCCTTAATTGTTTATAAAACTGGCAAGGCTCTTCGCTGGCTTTTAGCCTCACTAAGAATGGGATGCCAGCTCACCCTCTGGTATAGTTTACTACCCCATGTCTTCCATAGTGGTGCAGGGAGGCATAAATATTCTTAGCCTCTGGTTATTATAAAAAACAACAAATACCTCTTCTCTATTCAAACCTGCAAATATAGCAGAAATAACAATATTAATTTAAAAATCTGTTTAAAATTAGAACAGGATAGAAAAGTAGACTTTTCTGCATCACTTGTCAAAGTTCATCAGTATGACCCTCAGTCTCCTCCAAGACTTTTTAAAAAGTGAATCTAGGACTTGTTTGAAAGTCCTATGAAAATAATGCAAGGATTGCTAAAAAAGTAATAAAATATTGCCATGTCCTATCACATTGTTTCTCAAATGGTACAGATTTAGGTGATACACTAATGGGTATTTTTAATTTCAAAGTTATATATTTACTTTGATGGCAATTAGAACAAATATAATTAGCATATGAAACTTGTAATTTACACAAATAGTAATTCCTAGGACAAGGTTAAAAATTCTGAGTCCTTTTAAAGAAAAATATTAAGTAAACACTATGGTTAAAAACTGTAATATTGAGAAATAGTGCTCTTTTCTGATTATTCAAGTTTAGTGACTGGTTACACTATATTGCTGCCTTGATTAACCAATGCTTGTATCATTTAAAAACTTTATACCATAAAACTCACAGATGAATAATTATAGGTTATTGCCTATAGTATTAAAAACAGTTTTGTATCAGATTTGGAATGTGATTCCTAATATAATCTTGTTAATAAAATATTTTCACTATTTAAACACTTTCCTAGAATATAATATGATACTAGTATAAGGTCTAAATTGTTTGGCTTCTATGCATTAAAAGTTTGATAAACTTCCTCTATGCTATGAATAATTTGATATTGAATGGAATGGAAAGGTCTTATCAAAAAGTTTCCTATATTTATATATTCATACGATTTCCCCCCCATGAGTTACATGCTGCTGAGTAAGTGAAGGATTGTGGCTTAAGGTTTTTTCACATTTATTATATTCACATAATTTCTCCCGGGTATGGATTTTCCTATGTTGATTAAGGTGTGCACTCTGGCTAAAGGCTTTCTCACATTCATTGCATTTATAAGGTTTCTCTCCTGTATGAGTTCTCTCATGCTGATTAAGATGTGTCCTCTGGCTAAAGGCTTTCCCACAAAAACTACATTCATAAGGTTTCTCTCCAGTATGAAGCCTGTGATGTTCAGTAAGGGATGTAATACGGCTAAAGGCTTTATCACATTGTTTACACTTATAGGGCTTCTCTCCAGTATGAATTCTTACATGTTGGGTAAAGGATGAATGTTGACGAAAAGCTTTCCCACATTCATTGCATATAAAAGGTTTTTCTCCTGTGTGAATTCGCTGATGTTGAATAAGATGTATCCTCTGGCTGAATCTTTTCCCACATTCATCACATTTATAGGGCTTCTCTCCTGTAAGGACTACCTGAGGTTGAGCAAGAGATGAGTTATGGCCAAAGGCCTTCCCACATTCACTGGGTTTCTCTTCAGTATGAATATGATTAGTAAGAAAAATATGTTGATTGAAGATTTTTCCACACTCATTATATACATAAGGATTCTCTCTTACATACTTTCCCTGATAGTAAATCAAGCCTGAATTATTTTTGATGCTATTTCCTTGTGTATCAGAATTAAGAGGTATTTTAATTGAAGGAATTCTTTGATGCATAATAAGGTTTGAATTTAGATTACAGTTTCCCCCAAATCTAATACATTCAAGGCTTTCCACCTGTGTGATATTTTTGTGGGTAAAAGATACCTGTCCTAAATGTCTCTGTTTGTTTTCTTGGTTATATTCTAACTGGTAATCAAAATCCCAGAGTCTTCCTAAGATGGAGTACCAGAAACTGTCTCCTGTTAGTTTCTCCATTATCATGTCATGGGTTTGATTTTCATCAGAAATATTCTGGTTTGGAGTTGATTTTTTGATTTCAGGTCTAGTATCCCCATCTAAAAGAAATTCAGAATATACAAATATTTTGCAGTATTCTCTAAGTTTTGAAAAAGAAATTGCTGCACAATGAATTACCTAGTGAAACAGCAATAATGTAGACAAGGCATATGTGACATTGAAAGTTTTAAAATACAGCCATGTAACAGAAAGACTATAAAAGGATGACAAGAAGCAGTGAACAGGGAAGAATTTTAAAATGTGTGGCAATTATAAAAAGAAGAGATTATCCAGGAGTATTCACGGTTCAAAGGAAAAGGAAAGGAGAATAACAAATATCAGAAAAAGGTCTGTGTTCAGAGGTGGAAGACATTAGAGGAAAGACTGTACTTAGAGAAGACAGGTCCAAGTCTAGGACCTTATAAATCTCATCTGTGGATTATTCCATTGTAATGCTAGCTTTATTTAGAAAGCATTTCTCCCTAGCTTTAATTTTTTGTTTAAAATGATAAAACTAACACTTCTCTATAGTAACATATTCAAATAATATGGAAATGCATAAAGTTATAATTCTAACCTAGAGGTAATCATTAATAATTGGAGATGATCTTGCCAGATTTTTCCTACATTCACACAAATATAAAGGTAAACCATATTTTGAACAAGCCTGGCTCATGGGCTATGATAAAAACAAAACTTCATTTCAATCTCCTACCACTTTCCAAAACTTTATTTAGTGGGGGTATTTTCCTCTGCTTCTGAATGGAGATCTGGGCAGGTCCCATGGCTTTTCTCCTAATTCTTAGGTAACAGATACTTCTACTGTATAGCATCAAGTCACAAACATAGTATTCAGTAATTAAAATAGTCATGTGCATTAGTCAAAATTCCAAAATTAATTCATTTCCTCTCCTTTGAGCTGTTCCAGGCATTTTCCTCTTCCTCTTCTTCCTGCTGACCCCTTCCCTGACTCTACTTTCTCCCTGCTAGTTTTTTCCCTGACTCTACTCTCTCACTTCTTTCTCTACTTACTTGCCTGCTTATCTCTTCCTTCATTCACAACTGTTGTTTAGTTCCCTCCCAGCAAGAGTTGGAGGGTAGGAGCTGTGTGGTGGGAAGAGGGTTTAAGAGATAGGCCAATTTTTGTATGACTGGTTACCCTGACATTTTCAGGTTGGCAGATGGCTAAAATGGACTCACTTTTGGGAACTTTTATGACTCGTGGGAGTTTGTAGCTGAACCTCTTTCTGTCCTGTCATTTCCATGATCTAGATAGATAGATCTCTGTTTTGGGTAGTCCCTTGGGACTAGTCCTAGACCATGAATCCTAGTGGACAAGATCCAAGATCATGTTGGCTGATTCATGAAAAACACTCATGATGCCTTGCCCCTATAAACTTGGATAATGAACTTATCAGCTTCTCCTGGCTCACTCAAAAAAGTCATTTCATTTAGTCAGCTGTTTTGGGGCCTTGAACTGCTTTAACTTTCTCAGATGTGAGTCATGCATTAGTCTTGGTCTTCAGAACACAGGGAATGTGTATAATGCCATAGAAGTGGTGGCTTAGAAGCTGGCACATATGATGTCCAAATTAGAACACTTCACAGTAAAAGGGGGCACCTTTAATAATTATGCCCAGAACTGGGAAAATAAATTGTAATTATGCCATAGTACTTTATATTTTGCTGTTTTACATTACTGCATATCATGAACACATTTCCACATCAACAAATACATTTTCATAGAACTTTTAAAGGTCTATAAAATATCCAATTTTATGGATTTACAAAGTACTTTTAATCAATTCATACTTAGGTTATATTGGAACTTACTCTTATCACAAACAAACAGCACAGTAAGAATAGTTAGTTGGCTGAACATAAAATAGGAATTTTAAAAAGAAAAAATCTAAATCAGAAGATTATGAAAAACAGATCAATGTGATTAAAGATGTACAAAAAAGATAATTAAACTATTTCCACCAAATTATCAATGGGACCACTTTATTTTCAGCCTAAATGCTTTTGTCTACCAGGGATTTTGAGTCTAAAATGTTTAGAATGACTAGCTGTAGCTGTTTAGACTGTCTGTAATGTTCTCTTAACACCATCCACAGCCTGCTAACCTTGCTCATGGAACCACAGGTAAGTATGGTGCTCCAAGGTCCTACTGCCTAGTATTAGAGTTTACAGATTTAATCTGCTAAATTTTAGCTTTCAGACTTTTGTTTATCCCTAGAAACATGGCAACCTGATCAACATGTTCATGGTCATTTTGTTGACTGCCTTGTTTCTAACTCTTGCTTCTATGAGGGAAAAGGGAAAACTCCTGGTGGCTGACAGCTTACCATGATGATACCAGGAGGAATGATTGTGCTGTACACATGGACTGTACAAGTACTGCTTCCTGACTTTGAATACTTTCAAGGCATATCAGATCACTCATCACAGGGTTGCCTATCTACATCCAGTGGGATGCCAGGGGACAGGGTTTCTAATTCAGCTTGAGAAATGATTACCTTGGGCTTCAAAGCAGTTTTGAGAACAAACTCTATTCCATTTGCCCCAGCTACTCACCTAAGTCCCCATGTTAGTACAAATGAGTGCAACTGCCCTTAATGAGGCACCAATGAGGATGACTACCCTCACCACCCCATGTATACAGGAGCATGTAGAGGCGCTCTTCATTCATTATCCACTAATTTCTTCCTGATTTGGCTTACCTGGCTAGAAACCCAATCATTCATGGAAACATCCAAGCCCCGCTTTGTACTTCTGTCTATCCCCTATCAGATCTTACACTGCCTATCTCACTGCTGCTTGAGATTACAGATAAAAGTGCTTCTTGGGAAGAAAGTGTTTTCAGATATGAAAGCAAAAGAGTTTCCCCTGCCTACACTGTGAGAATGACATGCAATCTATCTTGTGCCCAAGTCCTAAGTTAAAAGAGTATAATGTCATGGTAACAGCTACAGACTAAGGCTCTACCTTCTGACAGAGGTTCTTCAGGCTTTCATTATTCTTACAGGAGCCTAAGGGAACTTCATAAAGAAAAACAGGGGATTTATGTAGACTATTGTAGTCTCAATGGTGTTACTATATGTCTCCACTGACTCTGCATTTCTTGGATCAATTCCAGGGGTTATGGGCTTTTAATAAAATTCCATTTCAAGGGAATTTATAACATTGTATTAAGAAAGGGTACCTTCCAGACAGGCCCTTGGTCAATATTTGCACATTGTGATGTCACTGAGTAACTTAAATAATACCCTGCAGGCCTTCTGTACCACTGCATACCTCACCAGTAGACACCCTGTTTAGCATCACCCAATGACTTTTGAACTGGATTATTCAGAAAGTAGGGAGGAAGGAAACAAGAAACAAGAGGAAGGAGAGAGGGAGGGAAGGAAGGAGGGAGAAAAAGAAATAGGGAGAAAGGGAGGGAGGAAAACAAATTTTTTAAAGTTTATTATTTCTACTTGCAAAGCATTGTGGTATTTCCAGTTCTTTTGTTAGTTAAAAAAATGTACCATGGTTATATTAATTTAGTGGGTAAAAATTAATTAAAAACTAAAACAGAACAGGCTAAAAAAGAACAGAAAATATCAAAGTTCATCAAACAGTGATAATGATAAATGTTTGGCAAAACTTTGTTTCAGTTTTAGAGATTATATAGATCTCATGGGCTGCAATAAAAATACATTTGTTAATGAGAGTGGTGGTCACAGAGAGTTACAAACTACTGCTTTACCAGAGGTTGGCAAGCTTTTTCTGTAAAGGGTTTTGTGGGCTCTGTTGTAAATACTCAACTCTGCTTTATATTGTGAAAGCAGTCATAGACAATATGTAAGACAGAGAATGGTTTTAGAATGCATTACTATAAAACTTTACTTAAAAAAATATGTGACTCTAGACTATGTTTTGTTCATCCAAAGAGTCTACAATGCTAAACTGAGTGTGTGGAAAGAAAGCTCCTTGATTAGTCTAAGATACCTTTGTGTTGACTGGTGGTTGCAATGTATGAGAGTGCTTTCTCCCCTATGGGCTCAACAGCGTGTGTTATCAAACCTTTGGAATTTTGCTAGTCTGATAGGTAAGAAAGGGTAATTTGTTGTAGTTTCAATTTGTGTTTCTCTTACCATGAATGAGACTGAACATTTTTTCATGTTAAAGGTATTTGTATTCCTTTATCTAAGAATCATATTTGTGTATTTTTCTATTGGGCTGTTGGCCTCATTGATTTAGAGGAGACTTATATGTTAATGGGTGATTAGCCTTTATATACTGGTAAGCATTTTCCATCCTTGCTACTTATCTTTTTACTTTACTTATTATTTTATACCATGGAGAATTTTGGGATTTGTGTGTGTTGAATGTATGAATCTTTTCTTTTATGGCTTCTAGATTCTGAATCATAGAGGCAACTCCCCATTTCAATGTTATATAAAAGATTTCCGTATGTTTTCTTCCAGATCTCTTATGTTTTCATGTTTTACATTGAAAGTCTCTGATCCCTTTGGAGTTTTTCTTGATTTAAGGGGTAAGCTATGGATCCAATAGCTACCCATTATTTATTAAAGGTCTACTTTTTAAATACTAGTTGTCTTAACACCATTTATTAAGAAATCTACCTTTTCCCTCCTAATCTGAGATAATGCTTTTATCATATACTAAACTCCTGCATGTATTTGGTTCTATTTCCAGATTACCATTTTGGTCAGTAGTCTGTCTTGTTTTAATTAATGAAATTTTATTATGTATCATCTAGCCTGGATAGTCCCCCTTACTGTTTTTCCTTTCAGAACTTCCCTGATTGTCTTTGTGTTTTGTTTTTCCCATGGGAACTCTACAATGAGCTTATTTACATCCTTTTAAAATCTTGTCGGCACTTTGTATGGGATTACATTATGTGTATAGTAGAGACACTGACTTGATTGTTAAAGCAGAGTAAAGAAGGCAAAGGAACAATCTATTTACCTGGCCATACAGTTATGTAAGAAATCTTAAACTCAGTGTCCCACTCTCTTGCCCAACAAGTGGACTTATTCACATTATACTTACTTTCTGATCTCATCTAGAACTCCATTTCTTTGACTCTTCTGTTACTTTCTAGTTTTCAGTCTCCTTCAGACCTTACTTCTTGTCACTTCTTGCACTCTATGTCAAATCACCTGATTAACTCTCTTTCACAGTTTTCCTCCTTTAGTTCTACTAGTCTAACAGGCCCTTAACCTAGGCTCTACAAACCATTTCCAGGGCTGAATAACAGGAGAAATGGCTTGCCCCTGGAAATTAGAAGCCACAAATGTATAGAGCAAAATCTCATTTGGGCCCTCAAAGCTGATCAGTAATCCCTTGCTCTTTTTTGGTCAGTTTCCACTGATCTTAATAAGCTTAGTAAGCAAGTGATCCTCAAGTTCTCTACTTGTCTTCCCAATTCCTTTACAATCAATAGAGGACCTTGCCTCCTACTTTACCAAGAAAACAGGAATCATCTTGTGTCAACTCCCTAAAATCTTATACCAACAAACTTATTTAGATACAAAATCACCCTAAGCTTTTTTCCAGTCACATTCTCATCTCTTCTAGAACTTTGCTCTATCTCTTGTATTTATTTTCTTCTTACCCTCTTTATTGACTTCTTCCCTTCAGCATTATAAACATGCTAAAATGGTTCCTGCTTAAAACAATCCTCCTTTTACACTACCTCCTAGTCTAGTAAATATCCTTTTTATTGTCTCCTTTTCTCGTTGTAGCTTGTTGTACAAGTACTGATGCTTACTAGCTCTACTTTCTTATCTCCTGTGCACTCAACAACATATAACCAATTGTTCTTCTAATCACTCCCCTGTCACTTCTCTCATTGATATAATTTCTAACTTCTCTGTTGCTAAATCCACTGGACATTTTCCAGGTCTCACATTAGCTAGGAAGAGATTTACAGACATCAGCAGATGTTAATAACATGAAGGAAGCAATATGTCAGATAGCATATCAGAATTAGGTCACATAAGCCAGAATTAGGTCACATAAGCTAGATCATTCTACCACAGTCCCTCAATCAAAAATACTTTTGAGATATCCTCATAACAAGAACTATTGATTGTGTTTCACAGTATAATGCAAAAATGCAAGTAGTCTCCTTGGAGGAGACTGCCTGTTTCTGATAACAAAGAAGAAATCAGTTATTCAAGCAAATCTGTGAACCAAGAGCCTTAAGCATCCACATATAGTTGTATAATGAAATGTGGAAATTTTCTTAAGTTAACAATTATTTTCTCTAGTTGGGTGTCTGTGGGTAGGGACATAATGGGAGATACTGTGTATCCTACACATGGCCAGCCTATGTGTCTTGGGAAAGAACAGTTCTCCCTTCTGCTGGAGGTGCCCACCTTGGCAATTCACCTGAAAAGAGAGTTTTTCATGTTTTTCCTTCAGTTTCCTACTCCCCAATTTTAAGGGTGTGGAGGTTCATAGAAATGATGTTACCCACTGTTGTCAGGGATAATGCTAGGGGTTCTTGACCAAATGTTTTCATTATTAGCCTCTATCCATGGAATGTTAGCACTGGTCAGGCCAAAATGTTGGTTCAGAGAGGCTGAAATAGGAACAAGTTTTCCTACCTAAAATAACTTAGAGCACTGAGAGCCAGGATAGCGAAGTCAAAGTCAACTTGAAAAAGCTGATGACAGAAAGCCAAGTCCAAATGATGTAACAAGGTGTCAGAGCAAAGAATCAGAGTAGGAACTAAATAGAAATGAGGTAGGTTAGCCTGGCTTAATGGATCAGAGTGAAAAATACCTAACTCAGTATACATATGCCATAAATTTAACAGTCAATTATTTGCTAAATCAGGCAGAGCACTTTAGTTGCTAATCCAACAAGAGGGAGCTAAGATTTGGGGGATTTTTTGATCAAAAAGTCTCATATTTAGTGAGATGCTTTAAAGAAGAGAGTATGAAATTAACAGAGCCAGGTTTTGAAATATTTAATTAAAATGATAGCATGATATTCACAAACAAAAAATATAATCTAAAATCTGGGAAGATAATGTGGGTGAAATATTGAGGCTAGGATTATAGAAATTGGAAAATAACACAGAAGGCCTACTTAAATGCAATGTACTAATAAGAATGGAACACGAGGACCACAGGAATACCTGCCTTTAGAAGAATAAGGAGGAAAAGAAGGTAGCAAAGGAGCAGGTGTAGAGGCTAGAAGAGGCAAGAATAGTGTATATCACAACCCAGGGTGGAAGAAAATTTCAAGAAGTAAAGCCAACACAATCAAATGCAACAGGATCATAGGAGACAATAATGGTGTTTTTTTTTAGCCACTGGATTTGACTAGAAGAAAGTAACTGGCAATCTCCAAGAAAACAATTTTAGTAGTACAGGTAGGAGAGAAGTCATACCATAAAGATGATCAAGAAAATTGAAGCTATGTTTTTAGATAAGTTTAAAGAGTTTGATAATAAAAGGAAAATGAAATAATAAAAAGTAAGCAAAAATAAAAGAGGATTTTTGGTATGGAAGAGAAAGATTTAAAGAATACTGGAGAGAGAATGTATGCCTAAAAAATAGAAAGAAAATGTTATGTGAAGATTTTCACCACCAAGGTATTTATGGGTATTCAAATGAATACCTTCAAAATAACTTGTGTAAATTTTTTTACAAGTAAAAATGATCTCTAATCAGAAAAAGAAAATGAGAGCCTCTTCCACTATGGAATAAAGTCAAATATGAACTAGGTTTTTGAAAAGGTCTCCGTATTCTTTAAATCCCAGAGGGAGATATTTGGAGCACACTAAGTTGAGTATTTCAGAAATGACTGTTTCCCTTCACTGAGTAGCAGATACCCAAGTGTTTGCTTCTTACCTGGATGAGTATCCACTGAGTTGCCTCTTTCTATCATCCATTGCTCCTCTTGCTCCAACTGAGTGATCACCTCTGGCTTATAAAGTTGATGCCCTTTTCATGGAAAAAATATATGTCTTAGAAGTTTATACTGTGAACAAAAGTCTCTCTCAGAAATAATACCCAACCTTTCTAGTCTTTAGGGCCTCTCTGGATTTGGAAAAGGGAGATTTCAGAGGCATCAAAATAAGGCTGCCTCCCTTCTCAACAATATCAATAAAGCCCTTGTACTGAGGAGAAAGCAGGAAACAAAGGTTTGTTTCCAAAATTGACTAGCATTCTTCTGTCCTGACCTGAACTATATTCACAAAAGCTTTGGAGATTTTCATTATTTAAGGAAATAAACCCATCTAAGAATGGGTTCCAGTTTTACAGGGTCACCATCCTTACCCAGTGCGACCAGATTCCTATAGTTCTCCAGCATCACATCTCGATATAGATTCTTCTGAGCAGGGTATAGCTGGTCCCATTCCTCTCTGGTGAAGTCCACAGCCACATCCTGGAATGTCAGTGATTCCTGAAACATCAAGTGCATGCCTGCTCAGCCAGGGATCCGTGAGGGAAGAGGCAAAGGTACAGCAGTAGACAAAGGTTAGGATGTTTTAGCTATTGTCCTGACAGTCTTCAGGACTCTGAGTAATCCAGATCAGAATTTGTGAAATAATTAGTACCTGTCTTTTCACCACCTTTCAAGATTTAAAAATGCATGAAATAATGCTTGTTTTTAAGCTTTTTACAACTTGTAGGGGAAAGACTTTCATATCATTTAAATAATTTTAAAAACCACATGGGAAATTCATGCTGTAAGATTTCAGAAATGAAAGAATTCAGGTCATGTTGAAATAGTAAAAGCAGATATCATGTTGGTGGATGTTGTGTAAATCCCTAACATTTTAAAATTTTGAACAGAACAGGAAAGAGGATATTCCATTGGGTTAAAAAAAGCAACAGGGGCAAACAGGTTGAGAGTAGAAGGCACATGATGTTGGGATCAGTAAAAGAAACTCTCTTGTTAAAGGTAGGAATTTCAAATAAAAAAGGGTGACCTCTAAATTTCCTCCATTGTTAATGCTTTTTAACCTTTTTGCTCTAAGAGACACAGACATGCAGACACACACAACTCAATTCTTCAGAATCAGTAGAATGTGATGTTCCAAGTAAGTTGTTTTTTCCCTAAGATTCAATATTTAAGTCACAGTATTGGCATTTTATTTAAATTATTTTTCATGCTTTGATAACATATCTTTCTCAGATGTATTTCAATTAATTGATGTAGGCAATTTAGAGATGAGTCATTGAAGCTAAAAGAAATTAAATAATTTATCCAGGGATGTTTTGAGACTAAACCTCAATTTGGGCTTGTCTAATGTCTCCTCAGGACTAGTACAGAAGGGCAACTGGGTTCTTCTCAGCAAGTCATATCAGGAGACACATTACTGGTTAAGGTGGCTATCTAACAGTAATTTCTACTGGAAAACTACTATTTCATCCTGTAATTAAAAGGTGTCTTGTTGGGGAGATACTTTGAGACTATGTAAATATTCTATTGCTCCTCAAGCTTTCATCTACTAGTTTTTAGCATCCACTGATGATTTTTGCCTGGATCAACTGTAATTATGATGGTTGCTCAATAGTGCTTTTCATCATTCTTTGTATATTATTAGTTGACCTTCTACTGTGATGTCAGCAGATGTCAATAACATCTTTAATTTATATAAGGTGGAATTAGTTTTTTCAGTAAGTTATAATTTACTATCACTATCTTAATACTGATTGTCCTAGATTTAGTCTGTAGGGGCCTTTCAAACTGGCTTCTGTGTCTTTCTAACATGTCCTTATCATTCTCTTCTTTATTTTCTGGGATAGAAAGATGTTCTTTGAAGGTTCATATTGTACTTTCTTCCATCAAGCCCAAATCAGCCATTTTTCTAAGGATCGCTGGTTCCTTTTAATGGTCCAATACTAAGTGCTTCTGCTTCCAACTAGAGGATCTGCAGTTGCAGGGTGTCATGTTCTGCTCTGCTGGTCAAATACTGAGTGGCTATGCCTGGTTCTTTTTAATGGAAAATGGCATTTAGAAACCAAAATCTGAGCACTATGTTTGTTGAATGTTACTGGAATTAATCATTGCTTCTAGGCCCTATATGTAATAATATAATAATCAGTGGCTGCATCTGCAAAATAGAGGTATATATGTATATAAAATGATGTATGTACACATAAACATAGACACACACTTTCATATCCATTTCTCCATGTAGCTATATGTATTAAAACCAATCAGTTCACACTGCTACCTCTAATTTTAATCCAACATTGTAGGGTTCATTGTATTCTTCTCTCTTCATATTTGTTCCGTTCTCTGACCTGGCTGTCATTATACACAACATATTTATTTGCTCAATCTTAGAATGTAAACAAAATGGTCTCAGTGTTGCTAACACATGTCTCTGCACAAAAGCAGCCTACAAATTAAAGAATTTGCTAGAGTTATTTTGCTTTTACCCTCAAGGTGTTAAGTACCACTGTTTAACTTTAAAGGTTAACTCCATTTCCTGATTCTTCCAGTAATTCCTGCTTACATCAGTAATTTAAAATATAGTTTAATTCAATTGATCCTGTTCGCGATCAATTTTAGGCCCTCCCTCTATACTCTTCTCCGCCCTCCCACCATTCCATCTTTTTCACCCCAAACCCATTCAAGGCCTGTAGGCAACCAATCTCAGTAGACTGAATATCACCTTTCCAAGTGGTGTCTCTTTTTGTTCAAATGAATAGATATATGTATACGTATGTTTTTATTTCCTCTTTATTACACAAAACAGTATACTATAGATACTCTTTTGCATATTACTTTTTTCACAGATCAGTTTATCCTGGAAATCCTTCCATATCAGTTCATAGATATCTTCCTCACTTTTGCTTATAGCTGCATAACACTCTATTGTGTGAATGTTGCAAAATTTATTTAACTAGTCCATTACAGACATTTTAGCTGCTTTCTTCTCTTTTGCTATTATAAATAATGCTGCAATTATTTTATATGTATATTATTTCACAACTGTATACAAGTCTATTTGTAGAATCAACTCCCTAAGATGGGATGTCTGGTAAGAGTATATAAATCTGTAATTTTGATACATATTGTCAAATTGATCTCTACAGGGATTGTATCAACTTACATTCTATAACATCAATCTATTGCTGCTAACAAAACATCCCAAATTTAGTGGCTCTAAACATTTATTTTATTCCCAAAATCTGTAATGTGGGCAGGACTCAGTGTGACTAGCTCACCTTTGTTCCATTTGGTTTCAGCCAAGTGGCTCAACTTTGGGCTGTAAAATTCACTTTTAAGATGGCTCACTCATATGGCTGGCAAGTTGGTGCTATCTGACAGGTGGTGGTCAGCCAGAGTCCTCACTTCCCTCCAGAGGGCCTTTCCACAGGATCCTTGGGCTTTTTCATGGCATGGTGGCTGGATCACAAGGGCAAAATTCCCAAGAGAACCTTTTTTTTCCCCAGCCTCAGTAGTTGCATAGCTCACTTCCAGCATGCCAGAAGACTGCCCATATGTAAGAGGGAAATAGTCCCTTATCTTTTATGGAAAGAGTATTTAAGTCACCTTATAAGAAGAGCCTCTGGGATGGTAGAAATTGTGCCATTTTGGGAAAATACACTCTGCCACAGTCTACTTTTTGAACATATAAACTCATCCCTCCCACATGCAAATACACTTATCTTCTTCCCCAAGATCCTCAAGTTTCATCCGATTGTGACACTGGCTTGAAGTCCAAGATCTTGTCATCAAAATCAGACCCAAATGCAGATGAGGATCTTGGAGTGTAGTTTCCCAGGTATGGTTCCTTGAAGACTCTCTCCCTATACAATGACCTGTGAACTTAAGAATAGTTATTTGGCCCCACCCTCTAATCTACACAAACTTACAATGGTATGAAAGGCATAGAAATAACCACTAGGGATACTTCCAATTCAAGTAAACAGTAGTCCACCGCAATTCTAAAATGTAGCTGAAGTGGGCACGTGTTGAGAGCTCTGAATGAGAAAGTTTTATTTTCAAGCTCAGTAATTCCAGGTTTCTTCATAATTTATCTTTTTCCTCTACATTTTACTTTAGGTAGCCAGAAGCTACCAGTTGGCAATTTCAATCTTCTGTCTGAAAATCTACTTAGATAGATCATTGAGTTCATTAAGCATATTTCCCATTTTCCTTGTTACTGAAGGTAACATTGCCCAAAATTTGTTGTTCTTGGGTCTCCTTTCCTTTAGCTCATATTTTCCTTACCACCTCTAAGCCTGGACAAAGGTCCTTCAAGCCTATACTAACTCTCCTTGAGGTCCCTTATGATGTTACTTGTTAGTCTTTTCTTTTCCATTTTCTTCCTACTTTTTAATTGGTTCTGTTCTAAAGCTAATGCCATATGCTCTAGGTTTTTGTTTTGGCAGCACCCCACTTGCAGGTACTAAAATCCATAACAGTTATCTGATGCTGCATAATAAATCACTCCCAAATTTGTGGGTTTAATACAGCAACTATCATTTATTTTGCTCACAGATTTGCAATTTGGACAAGACTCATGGGGACAGAATGCCTCTGATCTATGTGGCATCAGCTGGGAGGGCTTGACTTTAGATTGGAGAATACACTTGAAGATGGCTTACTCACATGGCTGGTAAGTTTGTGCTGGCTTTCAGCTAAGAGCTCAGTTAGAAACCTTGGTTACTCTCTCCAAGTGGGCTTCTCCCTGGGCTATTTGGGTTTCTTCATGGCAAAGTACCTGGGTTTAGAGAAAGCATCTCATGAAAATGAGGTGGAAGTCTTACTGCTTTTTATAACTTGCCTGGACAGTCACATCGCTTTACTTTCACAGGTAACAAACAGGCTTGCCCAGATTCAGTGTAGGAAATACAGACCTCAGTGTCTTGAGATGAGTGTCAAAGTCATATTGAAAGTGACATAAAGTCATAAAGTGTTTCAGATGGGAGAGATTTTGACCATTTTTCTGAAAATGCAATTTGCCACACACCACACCAAGAAACAGCCTGTTCTCTGAAGCTTTGCCAAGAGAGTACATTATCAAGCTTGTGGAAAATACCAAACTTGTGGCAAGTATGAAGCTTGGTGATAAAATACCAAGTTTTCTCTAGTTTTAATTTAAATTTTCTCTTGTTATGAGTATAGGTGAACGTTTTTCCTGTGTTTAAGACCCATCTGAATTTTCTTTCCTGTGAATTGTCTTTTTATGATATTTGTACATTTTTCTATTGGGCTCCTACTCTCTTACTGATTTAGGTAAGAGCCTTATGTATTATAAACATTAGTCCATTGTAATTTGAGTAGCAAAATATATTTCTCTATTTGACATGTTTTTTTAGTTTGCTTATAGTTTCCATTTGTCATACAGATTTTTTGGTACTTTTAAGGAGTTGAACGCAACAATCTTTTCTTTGATAGCTTCTGAATCTTTAGCTGTAATTGAGAGTCTTTCCTCAGTGAAGGTCATGAAGGAATTCTATTTTTTTTATTGAAGTATAATCAAGATACATTATATTAGTTTCAGGTGTACAACATAATGATTTGACATTTGTATACATTGCAAAAAGATCACCATATTATTTGCCACCTGTCCTCATACAAAGTCACACTTTTTTCTTGTGGTGAGAACTTTTAAGATTTATCCTCAACAACTTACAAATTTGCAATACAATATTATTGACTATGGGCCCCATGCTGTACACGACTTATTTATTTTATAACTGGAAGTTTGTACCTCTTCATCGCCTTCACCCATTTTGCCCATCCCCCACCCCTCTCCCTTCTGGCAACTACCAATCTGTTTCTCTATGAATTTTGTTTGTTATTTTGTTCTTTAGATTCCAGATGTAAGTGAAATCATATGGTATGTGTCCTTCTCTGCCTGGACTATTACACTTAGCATAATACCCTCTAGGTCCATCCATGTTGTCACAAGTGGCAAGGTTTTGTTCTTTTTTATAGTTGAGTAGAATTCTATTGTATATATAAACCACATCTCCTTTATCCATTAATCTACTGATAGACATTTAAGTTGTTTCCATATCTTGGATATCGCAAATAATGATACAGTGAACATAGTGGTGTATATATTTTTTTTAATTAGTGTTTTCATTTCCTTCAGATAAACACCCAGAAATGGAATTGCTGGATTGTATGGTAGTTCTGTTTTTAAGTTTTGGAGGAACTTCCATACTGTTTTCCACAGCAGCTGCACCAATTTTCATTCCCACAGTGCATGAGGGCTCCCTTTTCTCCTCATTCTTGACAACACTTGTTATTTTTCTTTTTGATAATAGCCATTCTAACAGGTGTGAGATGATATCTCATTATGGTTATGATTTTCACTTCCCTGATGATTAGTGATGAAAAGATGAACATCTTTCATGTGCCTGCTGGACATCAGTGTGTCTTCGCTGGAAAAATGTTTGTTCAGATCCTCTGCCATATTTTTTAACCAGATTGTTTTGTTGTTATTACTGAGTTGTATGAATTCTTTATATACAGGCTTATTTTATTGCATTTCACCTTATAATGCTTTGCAAATTTTTTTTTGCAAGCTAAAGGTTTGTAGCAATGCTGTGTCAAGTGACTATTATTGGTATCATTTTTCCAACAGAATTTGATCAGTTTACATTTCTGTGTAACACTTTGGTAATTCTTGCAATATTTCAAACTTTTACTCTTTATTATTAAATCTGCTATGTCTGTGATTAGTGATCCTTAATGATACTACAGCACATACTGTGCCCATATAAAATGTTGAATTTAATTGATAAATGTTGTGTCTGTTCTGTCTCACCAACTGGCCATTCCCTTGCTTCTCTCCCTCTTCTTGGTCCTCCCTATTCCCTGAGATGCAATAAGATTGAAATTAGGCCAATTAATAACTACAATAGCCTTCAAGTGTTCAAGCAAAAGGAGTCACATATCTGCCACTTTATATCAAAAGTAAGAAATGATTAAGTTTAGTGAGGAAGGCATGCCAAAAGCTCAGGAAAGCTGAAAGTCAGGCCTCTTGCACCAGTTAGAAGAGCTGTGAATGCAAAGGAGTTCTTGAAGGAAATTAAAAGTGCTATACCAGTGAACACAGGAGTAATAAGAAAGCACAACAGTTTTGTTACTGATATGGAGAAAGTTTTAGTGATGTGGATAGATCAAATCAGCCACAACATTCTCTTAAGCCAAAGCCTAATGCAGAGCAAGGCCCAAAATCTCTTAAATTCTTTGAAGACTGAGAGATGAGGGAACTGCAGAAGTAAAGTATGAAGCTAGCAGAGGTTGGCTCATGAGGTTTAAGGAAAGAAGCTGTCTTCATAATATAAAGGTAAAGGTGAAGTGGCAAACTGCAGCAGTTAATCCAAAGATGTAGCTAAGAAGGTGGCTACACTAAACAGATTATCAGTGTAGACTAAATAGCCTTATATTGGAAGAACATGCCATTTGGTATTTGATAGCTAGAAAAAAGAAGTCAATGCCTAGCTTCAATGCTTCAAAGGACAGCCTGACTCTCTTGTTAGGGGTTAATGTAGCTTGTGACTTTAAGCTGAAGCCCATGTTCATTGACCATTCTGAAAAGATTAGGGTCCGTAATTATGCAAAATCTACTCTGCCTGTGCTGTACAAATGCAGTAACAAAGCCTGGATGACAGTACATCTGTTTATAACATGGCTTACTGAATATTTTAAGCCCACTGTTGAGATCAACTGCTCAGAAAAATAGACTCCTTTCAAAATATTACCATTTATTGAAAACGTACTTGGTCACCCAAGAGCTCTGGTGGAGACATTCAATGAGATAAATGTTTTCATGCCTGCTAACACAGCATCCATTCTGAAGCCCTTGCATCAAAGGAGTAATTCTTACTTTAAAGTCTTATTATTTATGAGAAATACATATCATAAGGCTATAGCTACCATAGATAGTGATTCCTCTGATGCAACTGGGCAAAGTAAATAAAAGACCTCCTAGAAAGGATTTACTTTTCTAGATGCCATTAAGAACATTCATGATTCATGGGAAGAGGTCAAAATATCAACATTAAAAGGAGTTTGGAACAGCTTGCTTTCAGCCCTCATGGATGACTTTGAGGGGTTCAAGTCTTCAGTGGAGAAAGTAACTGTACATGTGGTGGTAACAGCAAGAGAACTAGAAATGGAGCCTAAAGATGTGACTGAATTGCTGCAATCTCATGATAAAACCTGAATGGATAGAGTTTTTTTCTTATTGATGAGCAAAAAAAGTGGTTTCTGGAGATGGAATCTACTCTTGATGAAGATGCTATGAAGATTGAAATGAAAACAAAGGATTTAGAAGACAAACTTTATTGATAAGGCAACAGCAGGATTTTGAGAGGACTGACTACAATTTTGAAAGATGTTCTACCATGGGTAGGATGCTATCAAATAGCACCTCATGCTACAGAGAAATCCTTTGTGAAAAGAAGAGTCAACTGATGTGGCAAACTTCATTGTCACCTTATTTTAAGAAATTGCCATAACCACTTAAACCTTCAGCAACCACCACCCTCATCAGTCAGCAGCCATCAACACTGAGACAAGACCCTCCACCAGCAAAAAGATTATGACTTGCTGAAAGCTCAAATATTGGTTAGCATTTTTAATACAATATTTTTAAATTAAGGTATGTTCTCAGTGCCTTTCTATTCCTGTCTGTGAGGAACTTTGAAATTAAAGAGTAAACCGAATGAATCTATTCCTTGCAACCCAAAGATCCTAAACCACTAATGTACCAAATAAATGCTCAGCCTCAGATGACAGTCTCTTTGTCCTGCTGTTGCTCAAGTTTTATTTCCTGCCTAGAATGGTCCTGTCTTCTCTACTCTTTTAACGCTACCCAATATCAGCACAAATTCAAACTCCACCTTCTTCATTAAGTATTTCCTCATCCCTCCAATCTCAATTAGATCTCTCCCTTCTCTGAACACTTGGGAAATAATACATATATAGACTCCCCTGAGATTTTTATGATTTACCTTCAGTGTTTACAATTTTGCTCACACTTGACAGTTTTTTTTTAAAAAAACAACTGGCATTTATTAAGTCTTTCCAGTGCATTCAACTAGTTTTTACAGAAACAATTCCTTGTTTATTAGTAATATCTCATTAGTTTACATAATACTTAACCTAATTATATATTTGTAATAACAGGCTTGAACAGGTTTTTGAAGAGATGCAATGGATTACTGATAAACATTAAGTTGTGGTAGCAGATGTCCTCAGGCATATTGAATTATGCCAGAGAAATGACAAGTATGGCTTACATTCTGGTGAGCTTTTTAAGTGAAGGGTGATTAAATGATAGTCTATGGTTTCCTTTGTTTCCTTTACAACATCTAGCAAGGACATGAGTCCATGATAGGGTAAAAATGCTAGAAGGAGAAAAGAGCAATAAAGGGGTATATTAGATACAGGAAGCATCCTAGATTATCATCTGTCAGAAGAGTCCCAAGAGCAAACAAAAAAGATAAACCCCTAGACAGACTTACTAAGAGAAAAAGAGAATCTACACATATAAACAGAATCAGAAATGAGAAAGTAAAAATCACTATGAACACCACAGAAATACAAAGAATTATTAGAGAATACTATGAAAATCTATGTGCTAACAAACTGGATAACCTAGAAGAAATGGACAACTTTCTAGAAAAATACAACCTTCCAGGACTGACCAAGGAAGAAACAGAAAATGTAAACAGACCAATTACCAGCAACAAAACTGAATCGGTAATCAAAAAACTACCCAAGAACAAAACCCCCATACCAGATGGATTCACCGCTGAATTTTATGAGACATTTAGAGAAGACATAATACCCATTCTCCTTAAAGTTTTCCAAAAAGTAGAAGAGGAGTGAACACTTTCAAATTCATTCTATGAAGCTAGCATCACTCTAATCACTCTAATACCAAAACCAGGCAAAGACACCACAAAAAAGAAAACTACAGACCAATATCCCTGGTGAATATACAAGCAAAAATACTCAACAAAATAGTAGCAAACTAAATTCAGAAATACATCAAGAGGATCCTAAACCGTGATCAAGTGGGATTCATCTCATGGATGCAAGGATGGTACAACATTTGAAAATCCATCAACATCATCCACCACATCAACAAAAAGAAGGAAGACCACATGATCATCTTCATAGATGCTGAAGAAGCATTCAACAAAATCCAACGTCCATTCATGATAAAAACTCTCAAAAAAATGGGTACTGCAGGCAACTACCTCAACATAATAAAGGCCACATATGACAAACCCACAGCCAACATCATACTTAACAGCAAGAAGCTGAAAGCTTTTCTCCTAAGATTGGGAACAAGACAAGGATGTGCACTCTCCCCACTGTTATTCAATATAGTACTGGAGGTCCTAGCCACGGCAATCAGACAACACAAAGAAATAAAAGGCATCCAGATTGGTAAGAAAGAAGCCAAACTGTCACTGTTTGCAGATGACATGATATTGTACATAACAAACCTTAAAGAATCCACTCCAAAACTACTAGAACTAATATCTGAATACAGCAATCTGAATACAGAAATCTGCTGTATTCCTATACACTAATGATGAACTAACAGAAAGAGAAATCAGGAAAACAATTCCATTTACAATTGCATCAAAAAGAATAAAATACCTAGGAATAAACCTAACCAAGGAAGTAAAAGACGTATACCCTGAAAACTACAAGACACTCTTAAGAGAAATTAAAGAGGACACTAATAAATGGAACTTCATCCCATGCTCTTGGGTAGAAATAAATAATTTTGTCAAAATAGCCATCCTGCCTAAAGCAATCTACAGATTCAATGCAATCCCTATCAAAATACCAACAGCATTCTTCAACAAACTGGAACAAATAGTTCTAAAATTCATATGGAACCAACAAAGTCCCTGAACAGTCAATGCAATTCTGAGAAGAAAGAGTAAAGCAGGGGGAATCTCGCTTCCCAACTTCAAGTTCTACTACAAAACCACAGTAATCAAGACAATTTGGTACTGGCACAAGAACAGACCCATAGACCAGTGGAAAAAAGATAGTCCAGATATTAACCTAAGCATATATGGTCAATTAATATACAATAAAGGAGCCATGGATACACAGTGGGGAAATGAGAGCCTCTTCAACAACTGGTGTTGGCAAAACTGGACAGCTACATGTAAGAGAATGAAACTGGATTATTGTTTAACCCCACACACAAAGTAAACTCAGAATGGATCAAAGACCTGAATGTAAGTCATGAAACCATAAAACTCTTAGAAGAAAATATAGGTGAAACTCCCTTGAATATAAACATGAGCAAATTCTTCATGAACATATCTCCCCAGGCAAGGGAAACAAAAGCAAAAATGAAGTGGGACTATATAGAACTAAAAAGCTTCTGTACAGCAAAGGACACCATCACTAGAACAAAAAGACATCCTACAGTATGGGAGAATATATTCATAAATGACATATCTGATAGAAGGTTGACATCCACAATATATAAAGAACTCACCCACCTCAATAAACAAGCAAATAATCCAAATAAAAATTTACAGAGGATCTGAACAGACACTTCTCCAAAGAAGAAATTCAGATCCCCAACAGGCACATGAAAAGATGTTCCACATCACTAATCATCAGAGAAATGCAAATTAAAACCACAATGACATATCATCTCACACCAGTTAGGATGGCCACCATACAAAAGACAAACAACAAAAATGTTGGCGAAGATGTGGAGAAAGGGGAACCCTCCTACACTGCTGGTGGGAATGTAAATCAGTTCAACCATTGTGGAAAGCAGTATGGAGGTTCCTCAAAATGCTCAAAACAGACCTACCATTTGACCCAGGAATTCCACTCCTAGGAATTCACCCTAAGAACGCAGCAATCAAGTTTGAGAAAGACAGATGCACCCCCATGTTTATCGCAGCACTATTTACAATAGCCAAGAATTGGAAGCAACCTAAATATCCATTGATAGATGAATGGATAAAGAAGATGTGGTACATATACACAATGGAATATTATTCAACCATAAGAAGAAAACAAATCCTACCATTTGCAACAACATGGATGGAGCCAGAGGGTATTATGCTCAGTGAAATAAGCCAGGCAGAGAAAGACAAGTATCAAATGATTTCACTCATCTGTGGAGTATAAGAAGAAAGAAAAAAACTGAAGGAACAAAACAGCAGCAGACTCACAGAGCCCAAGAATGGACTAACAGTTACTAAAGGGAAAGGGACTGGGGAGGATGGGTGGGAAGGGAGGGATAAGGGGGAAAAAGGGGCATTACAATTAGAACACATAATATAGGGGGGCCATGGGGAAGGCAGTACAACACAAAGACAAGTAGTGATTCTATAGCATCTTACTATGCTGATGGACAGTGACTGTAATGGGGTATGTGGTGGGGACTTGATAATGGGGGAGTCTAGTAACCATAATGTTGCTCATGTAATTGTACATTAATGATTCCAAAATTAAAAAAATTTTTTTTAATAAAAAAAAGAGTCCCAAGGGCTCTGGAGTTTTGGGATTTAGCTCTGCTAAGGACTGGAACATAATGTGCTCACATTCTGAGAACTGTAATAGCATTTCAGAGGAAAATAAAACTAAACTTACCTGGAACCTAACCATCTGTGATCCATCATTCGTTTCCTTATCCTCCGTGTTCCCTTTCCAGGGAAGTACAGCATTCTGAGAAGGCATAACTGGGAAAAAGAGAGTAGAAGCATCTTGTTGATACATGACATTAAGGGTGAACCTAACTCTTGGAGCTTTTGCTTTGTGCTAGTATGACAGTTTAGAGAGAAGACTGTTTAAGATATAAGCTTAAAGATTAGATGACTGAACTGTGACATTCTTGTTTCTCTATTACATTGAGGAATTCAATGCAGAACTTTCTCTTTCTCTTGCTATGGCTTGTGGGAAGCTCAAGAGAGTTCCATGGTTTTCAATACTACTACACACTTAGTGAATTTAACAAAGATGCCAATGCTCAGTTCTTATCCCCAGAGATTTGGATAAATCCAATTTCATCCAAGTTGGTCTGGAGGAGCCTGGGCAACAGCATTTAAATTCTAAAGTCTCTAACGATTCTAAGTGGAAGATGAGAACCCCTGGAAAGAGTTGATACAGAGAACATATGTTGAGGACCTAGCCTTACTCTTTAAGGGGATAAATTTACCCCAAACTCAAACTCCAGAGATCGTCTCTCCTCTATTCTCTTTAAGATAATCCTTCTAATATAAAAATATTTCATTCTTTTCATTTTTCAGAAAGTTGACCTTCCTTTTTGAGTACCTGGATTCAGTCCTCCACCAAGATTACTGTACCTTTTTGCGGTTCTTAAGTTGTAATGTCACCAAAGCTTTGTTTTCTTCCAGCAGGACTGTCAGGAAATACACAGTACTAACAGCTTCAATATCCTTCTCAGTCCCTGAATGTTAATTTTCCAGTGCCTTATCACATGGAACATCACTCCACGGTATTAAAGGTGCCTCATTTCTCCTTAGAGCCTTAGGAGCCAATGGATATCCACAAGAATGATTTCTGCTTCCCAGCTACTCTCAGAATCAATTCTGCCTTTTTCTTGCAGAGCTGAAATATGAAGGTTCCTGAAGGTGGCTATTACTTTTTTCCCCTAAAAGCACTGATCATCATGTACAGACTTCACTATGATATCCAAATCTGTCTCCTGGCAGGGATCGTTTAAATACAATTTCAGGTTGAGCACCTGTAATGAGATGAACTAGAATCATCAGAAGAAACCCAGCAGCCTCAGTCACCTAGGGATCTCCTATCTGTAAAGAGACAGACTATTCATTCATAAAGATAGAGCACAGTAGGATATGGCATTCTTTAAAATAGTCAAAAATAATTTTAGAATTTCTCAGATTCACAATTACAAAAAGCAGAGATGTATAGATGCATCAACTAGAACAAACTTTAGTCTCAGTCTTTTCCCATCCTACTTTCCAATAGAAAACACGTGGTCCTTTCCAACACCAACAATAGAGTGAAATGTATTGATTTTCTAATAATCATGAAAGAATACATTCTTTTTCTGTTCACAAAGGTTGGCCTAAGAAGCTTCTCTCAAAAGCAAGTGATGGCAATGAAGAATGAAGCCATTTCTGAAAAGCAATTTTTTTTAAAAAAGAGAAAACTGCAGTTGCAGTGGAACTGCCCTGTTAGATAAGGAAGCCACTCACTGCTCAATAGATGCCCCAGATCTAACATTTTACAACCAGTTCAGCTAAGAGGCAGATCTTTCACAAGTCATTTAAAAGCACTCTAAGAACCAGGTCCTTATTTCACCAGCATAAGCTATCTGAAGAGCTAGAAAGAATTTGTGAGGATGCCTTAACATTTCAAACCAAATAATCTCAAAACCGTTTATTCACAGTGACAAAAACATATACCAAGTTAGGCAGAACAGGGTTTCTCCTTCATATGTGCAAACCCAAGGGGATGAGGATATATACTATATATTGTGTGCAAATTTAGTTAACTTGAGAATGTTTTTAATGGCATGTGATGGGACCAGGGTCCCATAGAACATACTCAGAAATGCTCATTTATTCCTTGGTTCTTTGGTTTAATGAAGGATTTAAAGTTGAAGATCACAGACCTAAGCAAAAGAGCTGGTTCTAAAACCTAGGTCTTCCAATTCACTGTCCTGGGTTCCTTCTAGTATACTCTAAAGTCCTTGTTCGTACTTGTTCTCTCCCTTTCCTTTTTTTACCTGCTCCCCCACCCCCAACCTGTGTGCGATTGTTCATACAGCACACAGACCTTTCCAGAGAAGTCTCTGATTTTGCCACTGGTTTTCAGACAAGTAACCATGATAGCTTCAAAACTAATGAATTCCCCTGACTACCTAAGGAATACCAGGATTTTAATAAATTCAGACAAAGAATGACTCTAGGCTTAACGTTTTCATTTCCACCCCAAGCTCTTCCAAAAATGTGAGTGAACTTTACTGACCATGTAGAAAACCCATGCAGTGGTTCTCAATCCGAGCTACGCATTCACCTCAGCCCAAATTTTAAAATATTCTATGTAATATATACTGTCCAGGATCCACCTAAGATCTGCTAAATCAGCATTTGTTGAGGTGTAGTCTGGCACCTATATATATTTTAAATGACCCATAAATGATTCTGATATGATCATGAATTCAGAACTATCAGACCATTGGAATTCTTTGACTTCCTCAATACCAGTGATTTTCACCATCATTCTAGTGCCACACCACTTCAGAAATCTTTCTCACCTTTCAAAATACTAGACTGTGAATCAGGGGACCCAGGCTCTAGATTGGATGGGGAAGAAAGTGAAGACAGGAGTGGATTAATACGTAGGGGTAAGACAGCAAAAGAATAATGTTTATTAAGCACTGTCTGAAAATTACCTGGATTATGGTACTTGTTGGGAAGCAGATTCACTGGTCCTATCCCAGACCTAATTACATAGCACCAGTGGAATGTATTATGAGCCCAGGAATTTGCATTAAAAGGTATTTCTTCCCTGGAATCAGTCCATTCTCTCTGGCCTCCTTATAGGCTTGAATCTAGCACATATCTTCTAATTCCTGTATCTTCAGCTTTATCTTTTACTTTTATTTTTTAATTTTTTGGTATTTTTTATTGAAGTATAGTTGATATGCAATATTATGTTAGTTTCAAGTGTACAGCATCGTGATTCAACAGTTAGATACATCACTAAAGCCTCACCCCAATTAGTGCAGTACTATCTACCAAGAAAGATGCCACAGAATTACTGACTATATTCTCTATGGTGTACTTTCAACCCTGTGAATAATTTATATTATGATTGACATTTGTACATTTGTGCGTCTTTATCCCCTTCATCTATTTCACACCCTCTCCCCAATCCCTCCCCCATGGTAATCACCAGTAACTTCACAGTGTCTAAGAGTCTACCATGTTTTTGTTCATTTTGTTTTGTTTTTCTCTAGATTCCACAAATAAGTGAGATTATATGGTATTTGTCTTTGTCTACCTGACTTATTTCACTTAGCGTAATGAAAGTCTACCCATGTTGTTGCAAATGGCAGAAACTGTTCTACCCATGTTGTTGCAAATGGCAGAAACTGTTTCTTTATTATGGCCAAATAATACTCCATTATACATACATCACATGTGCTTTATCTCTTTACCTAGTGATGGACACTTTGGTTGTTTTCATATATCTTGTCTATTGTAAATAATGGAGCAGTAAACATAAGGGTGCACATATATATTTGAATTAGAGATTTTGTTTTCTTTGGGTAAATTCCTATAAATGGAGTTACTGGGTCATATATTTCTATTTTTAGTTTTTTGAGGACTCCCCCATAGTGCCTCCCATAGTGGCTGCATGAATTTACACTGCCACCAGCAGTGCAGGAGGGTTCCCTTTTCTCCATGTCCTTGCCAATACCTGTTAGTTCTTGTCTTTCGGATAGTGGCCATTTTCACTGGTGTGACATGATGTCTCATTGTGGTTCTGATTTGCATTTCCCTGACGATTAGCGATATGGAGCATCTTTTCATGTGCCTGTTGGCCATCTGTATTTCTTCTTTGGAAAAATGTCTTCTGCCCATTTTTTTTTTTGAGAGAGCATCTCTCATATTTATTGATCAAATGGTTGTTAACAACAATAAAATTCTGTATAGGGGGTCAATGCTCAAAGCACAATCATTAATCTACCCCAAGCCTAATTCTCGTCAGTCTCCAATCTTCTGTAGCATAACGAACAAGTTCTTACATGGTGAACGAATTCTTACATAGTGAATAAGTTCTTACATGGTGAACAGTACAAGGGCATTCATCACAGAAACTTTCGGTTTTGATCATGCATTATGAATTATAAACAATCAGGTCAAATATGAATATTCGTTTGATTTTTATACTTGATTTATATGTTGATCCCACATTTCTCCTATTATTATTATTATTTTTATTTTTAATAAAATGCTGAAGTGGTAGGTAGATGCAAGATAAAGGTAGAAAACATAGTTTAGTGCTGTAAGAAGGCAAATGTAGATGATCAGATGATCAGGTGTGTGCCTATGGACTAAGTATTAATCCAGGCTAGACAAGGGCAGCAAGACATCCACGGATGCAGAAGATTTCTCTCAAAGCAGGGGGGGTGAGGTTCTGAGCCTCACCTCTGTTGATCCCCAAATTCTCACCTGATGGCCCCCCTGCGACTGTGCCTGTCTTAGGTTGTTCCTCCCTTGAGGAATCTTACCCGTCTCTGGCTAACCAGTCATCTTCCGGGGCCATACAGGGAAATGTAAAGTTGGTAAGTGAGAGAGAAGCCATATTGTTTGCAAAGGTTAGCTTTTTACTTCTTTGCAGATTTATGCCCTGTGGCTTCTATGCCCAGCACTTGTCTCGAGGTATCTTTACCACCTGGAGGAATTATGATACTCGGTAAATTCGATATGAGGCACGAATTCTATTTAAGGGTTGTAATTAGGAAGGAAGAAGAAAAGCTATAGATGTAGCATATGAAGGAAACTTGGGAGGATTGATTATTTCTTTGACATATCTTCTTGTATAGTACCTTAAGTATGTATAGGTTTTAAACTACTAACTAATTTGCACACACATATTAACATAATAGGAATACGGTGACATAAACAAAGCAAATCTATAATTACCAGCCATCTCCAGTGAAGCCAAGAAAACCATTTAG